TCGAGGAAAACTACCCTACCCCCCCCCCCCCGGTTTCGAGGTAGAACTGGGTTCAGAAAAAGAAGAGTTGGTGGCTATTCAGAACACCAAACTTTGGGTGCTATATAATTATAGGCCGTCTCCTCATCTATCCATCAGCACTACTGTAGACTTTTCCCTTTTGGGATAAGCAACATTGTTCAAAGAGTACAGAAGGAGTAAGAAATAGTAAGGTGAAGAAATGAAAGATACGAGATAAGAAGAAAAAAAAGGAAATACAGCTAAATCTGGTTGACGTCAACACCATTCACCATACTTCTCTAAATCATTCTATCCTAGCAAACCATGCTTGCTTCCACCACTTCCATAGATCACTTCATACATAATCTTTGGTTCAATAAACTACTCACCTCTTTCTTTTTGTGGATCTCGTCAACATTCTTAATCTTCCCCTTCTGCTTGACCCATTCACTCTTCCTGCATATATTTCTTTGCAGTTAAGTCTTTATTAATTCCCTTTGTACGATCAAATCACCTAAATGTTCTTCTTTCATTCCAGTTACTTGTTTTTGTATTTAATCTACATTCATTCAGCATCCACTCATCCTTTATCCTTTTTTATCTTATTTACTATGTGCACTTTGGAAATACCTTATTCTCACTGTGTTCAACTTGCATTTATGTTTCTCCTGACACACTTATCATTTCCATATTAAAAAGTGGGGAGAAGTACACTCTTAGACACAACAATTTTTGCTTTTCTTAAAAAACAAGCATTAATTCCTTGCAACAGTCTACATACTACTCGCTACCCTTCTACCAGGATTTGCACTTCTTAAAATTTCTCCATTCATTTTCCCATTTTTTCTAAACATTCCATTGAAATATGCAAATTCATTTAATTGCCTTTTTTTTTTTTTTGCCATCTATTTATAACTTGCAATTGTTCAATTACATTTTCCCTGTCAAACACAGCTACAGGTAGTCCTTGTTTAATCACTGTCTCATTTAGTGACTGTTCACAGTTACAGCGGTGATGAAAATGTAACTTTGCAGGTCTGTAAAGCAAAGGAAAGGTGATGTAAGATCATAAGTACGGTTTCACTTAGCAACCACTTCATTTAATGATTAAGTTGCCTGTCCCAATTGTGGTTGCTAAATGAGGACTACCTGTACCTTGGTCTTCATAAATTAATGT